GATGAAACCTCCTCCATGCGGTCCTTTACATAAAGGCATGCATCTATAAACCCCTTGTCGACTTTTCCCCTGAAAACCAAAACCACACAACACAGCAGGGATTAAGTATGGCCGAGCCAGCTTCTGTGGTTCATGTCTAAATTCTGTCAGAAATGATAACAAGAAAATACAAGAAAAAATGCCTTGCACGCCTCCGTGGCTTACTCACATCACTCAACAGTCTGACACATTGATAGCACACGCAAACCTCAACAGTTACAGTTTGCTCTGATTCACTACCCATTAATATCCAGAGAGCGCTCAAACTGGCCATCCATCACGCAAACTGAGCATCAAGCCTGAGTGGGTCACAATGTGACCTGTACTAGCTTTCCAGCTATAACACCTATACATATATAGAAGCACATCCTGAACGTACCCACAGGAATGATCAGACAGGTGCTGAATGATGAGTTAATATAAGTCCTGCTTTCTCCTCACTGCCTGGGCCCATGGCCATCAGCCCTGTCTGCATACCTGAGACTGATAAGTGATCAGTCAGTGACAAGGAAGACAACACTGCTAGTTATTTGCTTTGTCCTAGAACAGAGTACGTCTGTGTGACTATTGAGTACCCTTAATCAAAGAGTTTAGTTGCAAGTTGGAATATGTGTGTGCTTGTGTGAAGCTTACAGTGTACTTGTGGCGACAAATGTTGCCATTTTATTATTGTACGATCTATTGTGCAATATAAAGCGCCTTGACGCGACTGTTGTTGTGATTTGGCGCTATATAAATAAAACTGAATTGAATTGAATTGAAATGTCAGTTTAGTGTGTATATATATTACAGACACATTTATGGCAATGAATGTGCACAAGATTTAAAAAAGCATGAGTGTGTATTAACTGAATTCCCATGCATGTAAGTCAAAGTCCCAATTTAATGCCTCCGGTGCATGCATGAAGCATTACTCAGCACCTGTCCTATACGAAGTATAACAGATAAGGCTGCATACGAATGACTGTTCCAATATTTGTACCTGTGAGCAGAGAATGCAGTCTCTATTTAGAGAATTTACACACATAAATATTTAGTAATATTTAACACTAAAAACCATCTTGTGTTTAAAAATTCATGTAATTAAGTATTTACCAGCGATATAAATTCAGGAGTTTAACAGTTTGAATCTGAGCCTTCAGTAGTTTGATCAAGGTGTTGATACGTTTTTTAAAAGGTTATGTATCCCTGTCGGTGTCGAAATAAATGTTTAATACAGCGTTATCAATTTAAAGATTAATCATTTAAAGATAAAGATACCATTTAATATAGCACGGCTCTTTTTTATAATGGCCAACAAACCTCTATATAGCTTGATTTATTGGCAACTGCTTTGTTAATTGATAAGTTGTGAATTTGTTTTTTCTTAAGTTGCAGGGGGAGAAAACTTGTGGAGCGGTCTAGAGCTCTACAGGAGTGGAGATATGGGCATAATAAGGACAACAAAACCTTGGCTCTTTGCAACTATCTGCAAAGATATGCACAGATATGTCAGCAAAAAGGTAACGAAAAACCCAAAGTGATATTAATATGATATAAGCTGAATGCATGCTGACCCCAGTCCTGCAGCCAGAGCCTGAACTTCAACAATGGTAAATGGCCTGTATTTGTATAGCGCTTTACTAGTCCCTAAGGACCCCAAAGCGCTTTACACATCCAGTCAT